TCAAATGAAATCAGTATTAACAAAATTAATTTGTAGAGGTGGCACAGAAGAACACAAAAGTGGCTTGTATGTGTATTTTCAGACATTTAACGAGGCTCAGAGGTGGCATGAGTGCAGTTAAATCCATAAATTCATGATGAGATGAATGTTTTAAATATAAAATTTTGAATATAGAAATATTAAATGATTTAAATAACTGAAAAGATACTTTTAAAATGAAACAAACTGCCAGCAGGTGGTGGTAAGTCACTGATTTTTATCACTGAATCATTCATTCAATTTATTAATTCGAACAGCTGATTCATTCAGGAATGAATCAAGTGACTGTTTTTATGAATGGGTAATCATGCATCACTGACTCATTTAAAAGCGCAGGTTCATTCATAAACGAGACACCGCTGTGTTTGAATGGAGATGCGCAGCAGCTCCGCTGTGTCTGTGTTTTTAACTATTTTCGACGACGAAATAGAGCAAAATCAGACAATAGTGTCATAGTCAGACAATGTAAGTCACTTAATATTAACTTGTTGTTTATTGAATTGCCCTGTCTACACTTTGCTTATGAAAGGATTCGTGAGATACGTCTGTGATACATTACGCAATGCTGCAAAAACACGTAAAAACCTTTGAAGCTCCCCTGAGCGCAATCACAAGTATGATGATGATCGGGTCAGTCGCACTGGTGCTCCTAAAAAAAAAATGTCATAGTCGCACACAGTAGTTTTCAGTCGCAAATGCAACTGAAATGGTCGCACTGTAGAGCCCTGAAAATGCTTAACGCGAAACTATGCGTGTTGTTTATTCTGGGCTCACCTGCTTGCCTGTACATATTAGTTATGATTTAATAATGAAGAGGAGTATATTGAGTTTGGTCTTTATCATCGTAGTCATTATGCCGTGTTTTGCGGTATGGGAGAAAACACCATATACAGTCATGTGAAAAAGTTAGGACACCCTATTGAATTCCATGGTTTTCTGTATCAGGGCATCATAAAAAAATAACTGGTCATTGGCAGGTCTTAAATTTAGGAAAATAAAACCTCAGATGAACAGCAACACATGACATATTGCACCGTGTCATTGTTTATTTAACAAAAATAAAGACAAGATGGAAAAGCCATGTGTGTTAGGACACCCTTACTGTTAACATTGGAATTAAGAGGGTAAGTAACAGTCAGGCACTGCTAATCAAATACCTTTGAATTATATATACATTCATGTGAAAAAGTTAGGACACCCTATTGAATTCCATGGTTTTCTGTATCAGGGCATCATAAAAAAATAACTGGTCATTGGCAGGTCTTAAATTTAGGAAAATAAAACCTCAGATGAACAGCAACACATGACATATTGCACCGTGTCATTGTTTATTTAACAAAAATAAAGACAAGATGGAAAAGCCATGTGTGTTAGGACACCCTTACTGTTAACATTGGAATTAAGAGGGTAAGTAACAGTCAGGCACTGCTAATCAAATACCTTTGATTAACTGATCATCAGCAAGTGTGAGCAGCTCTATAAAAGCAGAAGTTTTGGCAGTTTGCTGGTCTGGAGCCTTCAGGTGTGTGTTAACAATGCTAAAGAGGAAAGACATCAGCAATGATCTTACAGAAGCAATTGTTGCTGCCATCAATCTGGGAAGGATAATACGGCCATTTCCAAACAATTTGAAGTTCGTTATTCCACAATGAGGAAGTTTATTCACAAGTGGAAGACATTCAAAACGGACACCAATCCTTCCAGAAGTGGACGTCCCTGGAAATTCACCCCAAGAACTGACCGTGTAACGCTCAGAGAAATGGCAGACAGCCCAAGAACTTCACCGCAGACTCTACAGGCCTCAGTTAACATGTTAAATGATAAAGTTCATTACAGTTCAATTAGAAAAATATGGGACAAGTAT